CGACACCAACCAGGTTCCTGGAGAACGAGGGAACGTGGAGGCCTGTAAGGGAGCCCGAGGGAACGGCTGGACAGGGAAGGGAAGTGGAGCTGCGAGCGACGACAGGACCCACAGAGGGGTCAGCGAGAGCGACAACAGCAGGCGCTGCAAGTGGCGTGAGCGTGGAGCGGTCGCGGAAGAAACAAGCAGAAGCACCGGAGTCGAGAGTGAAGGACAGCGAGGCAGTAGCAGAGGCCGGGAACGAGGCTAGTGAAACTAGGCAGTCCTACGCCTGACGCAGCAGGGGAGGCTAAGCTACACAAGTGTGCTACACCTAAACTAGAGTACACAGGGTAATAAGATCCAGCAACACTAGAAGCGTCAGCATACAAGGCATGCAAAGCAGCACCTATCTGATCCATATCTAACTCAAAGATCGGCACGCCCTGTCGCTGCAGGCTGTACCAGTCGGGGAGGTCCGGGGCCGGGCCAAAGCGACGACGAAAGAGATCGTCGAGGCGGTAGAAACAGCGGGCGGTCGGGTGCGAGCGGCGGCACAGAGTGCCGCGGAGAGGCCCGGTCTGAAGCTGGTACTGGCAGGTCACACCAACGGAGCTGCTGGTAGACGCCAAGCTGCGCAGGCAGCCACCACGGCCACCACCTATGGAGGTGCCGGGCCAACCCGGCGGGAGACGAGCCCACGGCGGGGGCGGAGACAATTGCTGCGACGACTGCGACTGCTGCGACGGCTGCTGCGGCTGCTCCTGCTGCTGGGGCAACGGCTGCTGCTCCTGACTAGCTGCGGCAGTCCCCTCAGTAGAACCACTGTCCCCGGCACCACCACCACCACCAGCTCCACCACCACGCCCTCCCTGGCGGCCACGGCCATCGCGGCGCAGGCGCTGCTGTGGGTGGACCGCAGCTGCAGTCTCGGTCAGAGGGGTCGCAGTGGCGACCGCAGCCGAAACGTCAGTAAACGTGCACTGGGAGGGGGCACAGCCGTGAAAGATAGAGATTGCCAGCGCACCGCTCGACTGAGCGATAGTGCACTGGCGAGTCTCGATCTCGGTCAGGGCGGTGACAAAGGCTGGCAGGGTGAGATCACCCGGGTGCTGTCCAAGGATGTGGTCGCGTGCACTAGCACGGCGGTCAGGCAGGCGCATAGCGTTAAAGTAGAGGGTCATGCAGAAGGGCGGAGGGAGCGCAGTGAGCTGGGCAGCAGTGCTAGCAGTGCGGTAGCGAGACTCTAGGGCTCGCAGGTGAGTGGCAAGGTCAGCAACAGTAGGGAAGGAAGCAAGGTCTGGGAAAAGCAAAGGGAAGAGCAGGCGACCTGCTTTCACAGCTGCCGAGCTCGCCCGCTCTGTATGGGAGTTGCGTGTCGCCACTGCACAGCTAGCTATTAGTCACGCTTTCCCCCTGTCCAAGCGTCCCTGCTTTTCGGCCATAGAGACTGCGAAGGAGTACTTATGTGCAGTCATTGCTCGCTATTCCACTCCCTCCTCCGCCTCTGTTGGGCGTCTCCTCCTGCCCCTGCTCTACCCCACTCACATGCGCGCTCTTGAGACTAGCTACCGCGCTGCTAGCACTGAGGCTCAGCTCACTGTACTTCCTGCACTGAGGCTCGGCGCTCCACTTTATTTCTCAGCCGCGTGCCTTCCTGACCACCTAGCCACTGCCCGCGACACCTTTCTTAGTCTCCACCTCGCTGACCTCGCCATTAACGACTTCGTCGCCACCCTGTCGGCGATAGAGACCCGCCAGCGCACTATCGCTCAGTCTAGCGACACTGCGGCGGACCCTATCTTCCAGGGCTTTGCTCCCTCCCAGTGCATTTACTCTGACGTTTCCGCTGCTGTCACTAAGACCGCCGCAACAGCCTCAGCGTAGCCGCGTCAGGGTAGAGCCCACCATTGCCCCAAGGGGGGGCGTAAGGGAGGGAAGGGTTCTCGGCCCCCAGCTCGCCGCTCGGCCCCTAGCTTGCCGCAACAGCAGCGACGCCAGCAACAGCAGCTGCAGCTGCAGCAGTAGCAGCAGTTGGGGGCCCCGCTGCTGTGGTGGCTGGGTGGCTTTGGTGGTGGTGGCAGCGTAGGCGGCCCTCGCAGCTCAACATCGGGTGGCAGCTCCAGTACAGTGAGTTGCCAATACCAACTTCAAATAGGTCCCTGTCGCGGCACCGTGTGTGACCGTCTTGGTCACATCGCCGCCCGCTCCTACCGCCACCTTGACGACCTCTTCTGTCTCCGCTTCAGACCTGTGCTAGACCTGCGCACACGCAAAGAGGGAGTCGTTCAGTTACAATCTCTCAAGACAAGCGTGGTGTTATAGATGTCACGTGTACTCGTCATCGAAAACCTTGGCTACAACCTACTAGGTGTCAGTCAACTCATGTCCAAGGGCATTCACCTGGAGTGCTATAGTTTCGATCGCGAGTTTCGTCTTTACTACGGGAAGGGCGGCCTCTTCATCGGTAGAGCGATCTAGAAGCACGGTGTCTTTGTCTTGGACTTCGTCCCTGACAGCGGGACCGCTAACAGCGATGGCGTCATCTCATTCACGTCCTTGACGCACCCGTCGGACCTCGACCCAGGCTTCGACCGCGATGGCTTTTGGTACTCCAACACTATCCCTGAAGCAGAGAGCACAAGAGCGTTAGCTGTGATGCGCAAAGCAAAAGAGACATGGGATATGGAACTACCACGAGCAACCATGCAACAGGTGCCAACAGGAGCACTCCGTACACGTCCCATCGCTGAGACTTTGTCCGCGCCACCCGTCGAAGAAGCTCGAGATAACATGCCGCCCATTGACTACCCGCCGCCAACCGCAGCCGCACAGCTAAAGGCACATCCTCACAAGCAGCATCGAAGCGCCGCGACCGTCTCCGCCTTCTACGCCAACTCGGACTTTGTACCGCCGCTCCGTGGGACACAAAGCGAGCGAAGAAACATGGCATCAGCGGTTAAGTCATCCCGGCAATTCACGGCTCTTCGACACTATTCACGCTAATGTGCTTGACAAGGATGCACTCTTGCTTCTCAATGGCCATGAACTCCGACGACCATGACGCAACTGCATTATCTGCCCCGAAGCAGATCTACCATGCCAACTGTTCCCGTCGCATCACAACCCAAGCGCACCTGAGTATACTCCTCTCAGGAAGGTATACAGTGACATACTATATATCCCACGCGAACTCGGACGAGCTGACCTCAACTTCGTCATCACCTTCATCGATGGCACCACACGCTACACCTGGCACCCTAATCTGCCGTCCCGTGACCTCGCCTTCTCCGCCTTCAAGCTAAAAAAAAATCAGACAGATGGGGCGATGGAATACAAGTAACAGTGCTTCAAGGACTATCTTGCTGAGCGGGGGCATGTAACCCTCCCCTATACTCACCCACAGAATAGTGTAGCAGAGAGGATGAACATGACCCTCCAGAAGACCATGCGGAAGTTGCTCACTGGTATGCGCCCTGCCCAATTTGCAATGGCCAGAGGCGATGAATCACGCTGTAATGCTGCAGAATCTTCTGTCGTCAAGCTCCCTGCCAAATAACGCATCACCGCATTTGCTGTGGACAGGGAAGCATGGCACAGTACCGCCCGCACACTGCACGAGTTGGACGATTTTTGCAGCAGGCACGATGGGGACTACACCTCGGTGTAGAAAAACATTACAAGGCATGGAAAATCTTCGACTTGGAGAGCAAGGAAACACTACCGGCACGTGATGTGATCTTCTACGAGAACCTCATCCTCAACCACTACCTTGACAGTATCGCTACTAATCAGGACCCGTCTGGTGGCTTCACTGTTGCACGGGCGTTCGCCCCGGAAGGCAAAGAAGCTGACCTGGACGAACAGAACATTCCGGACGCATCTGCGACTGCAGAACCTCTACCCTACTGCTCCGTCGACGTTCCGATGGACGATGACAACCCTCGCGACAGTGCAAACGCTGAGGTGTATTACCATTTCGCCGACAAGATTACGTTGCCCCACACCGAGTCGACAACAATGTTTCCGAATGCGTAGGGCCTGGTTTCCGACCTGACACTGAAGCGAGAGACGAAGAAGCGAAGATTGTCGAGTTACCAAGATTCTCCCTCTTCTGCGACAACGAATCGGCAATCATGATCGCCAACAAAAAAGGCTTTGTAGAAAACGGGTGAGCGAGGAAAGTGGCTCTGATAACCGGGTGTTGTGAATGAACAAGCAGAGTAACACGGAAATGAATATCAAAGTATTGAATAACTGATTAATGATACAAGGAATGGCAAGCCAAAATATATGAACACCAGAGCTAGTCTAGACGTGAGATATGAGAGTTTGGGAAAGGGTCGCGAAGTAACGAAGTGAGGCCCGGAGAACACCCGAAGGTCGAACTAGAAGGTCTGGAAAAGCCGAGGCGGTTCTGTTAGAAAGATCTGGAACCGAACCAAGGCTTCGTGTGAGTTCGAGCGTACGTGATAGCAATACGGCTCGGTAAGGAAGGGAAAATTCCTTACATTGACCTTTCATGTAACTGGAACGCGCCGCCTGGTAGATTCATTTTCTTCAAAGCCTGATGAGGTGTAGATGATAAACCCCTTTCACAAAACCTTGACTGGGCAGGACTGGGAATGCCCTTCCTGTCTAGGCTTCTGTAAAACCCCACAAAACCTCGTCCGTCGATCTTCTGCCGTTTGCACGCCACATTCTGGGCGCGGTACAGTATGAGAATTCGCGTTGGTCAACGTGGACTACGCAGGAATTCTGGGGGTTTGCCACACAGACCCATCCGCAGGAAAAGTTCACCGTTTGCGACAGGGTCCCTTGCGCGACATCATATACAATCGCAGATTTCCGATTTCCGGCTTCGCGTTGAGTTTCGCATGCCCTGAGCTCGAGCGAAATCTCCGGCGAGAACTCCGGAAGCTCTGTTACTGTCGCCAGCTCAACATACCCTGATTCTGTACACAGAAACGACTGTTGGCCCAACTCCGCATGAAATACCCCATTCTGAAACCTGTTTGTCCATTCGAGATTGGTCCCTAGAACGGCCATTCTGAATGGCCAGCAGCTCACTTTGAAACTAGCAACGCCTGTCACCGACTCCTTGTTCCGCTCTGTCGCCGACCCCGCTGCTCGGCTTAGACTCCATCCGCCAACGCTCTCCGGCGCCATCCCTTGGAGGCGAAAGGTTGCGACTGTCGCGTTCCCTCGTGTCAAATTCCCTAGTGCGGCGCGGATCCTCGCGAGCGGCCATGCCGCAATGGTAACCAGCGCGAGTCCAGCTGCTAGGAGTTCCACCGGGCTCGCGTTCGTGTTCGACGCGCACTCGCTGCGATGGCGGGCCACCAGCAACTTGCTGCTGAACGGCGCTGACTCGGAGTCCCAGTCGGACACCAGCAACCGCCGCAGATGGCGCTTGTTACAAGAGCCGTTCTGCCCGTCGCGCGCGAGACTGTGGACCACGGACGACCTGCCGCGCCTTGCGACGGACGACCTGCCCAGGCCGTGCGGGGAGACGCGTGCAGAAGTGGAGCGCCCAGTGGCGCGGGTATCCCTTGAGTCAACTCACAATCCAAGGGCCTCTGACCCTCGTTCCCCCTCCGACCCGCCTTCGTCATCCACGCTACAATCGCCGCCTGCAATCGGCGCAGCAGTGCAATCACCAAGAGCGGCAGAAGCAACACCAGCAGCAGCAGCACCAGCAGAAGCGTCGGAAGCAGCAGCAGGGGACGCGGCAGCACAGGGGCGGCGGCAAGCAGGTCCCTTCCTGGGCGACGAGCTGCTGGGCATGGAGCAGCTGACGGGCGTGGTGCGGGGCACCCTTCGCTTCTGCTGCTCCGATGACTCCCACTGGCCCCACGGCGACGGCTCGTTCCTATCCTCGGACGACCGTTGCAAGATCCGATCCCTCTGGGACCCCACGGAGTTTCATACGCATTTAGAGCAGCTGCTGACACGAAACCAGAAGCACGTCACGGTGACGTCCCTGCACATCCCCGCGACTCTCGTCTCTGACCAGCCGTGGCTGCTCAAGAGGCTGATGCGGGTCGTCTCGCAGTCGTGCGCCAGCCTGCAGTCGCTGTGCCTCCAGGCGCAGCCAGAGCGCGGGTGGTGTCCGTTGCACGAGGATTTGAGGGAGCCCAGGGATTGGGGATGGAAGAAGCCAGCTCAGCTGGAACAGGTGGGGCAGCTTATAACGGCTTGCCCCCACCTGCGCTCGCTACACTTCAACCTCAATAACAAATACATCGATATAAGTGAGGAAGTCGCACCGCTCCTCTCCCATCTCGCCCACCTCTCCCTCCCTCTCTGCGACCTCCCTCCCTGCCTCCTTCCCCACCTCTCCTCCCTCCGCTCCCTCCATCTCTCCCTCTCTGCACCCCACCATCCCCTCCTCCTCTCCGGCGTCCCCTTCCACTCTCTCTCCCGCCTCTCCCTCCTCCACCTCTCCCTTGGCTCTTTTGCCTCGGGGCTGTCCGAGCCTCTCTCCCCGGACCTGTTTGCTGGGCTCGGACCGAGCCTGCGGTCCTTGACTTTCCTCGTGTGTGCGAAGCAGAAAGGGCCCGCAGAGAAAAGGAGAAAATACCGTGATGGGAGAGCGGATAAGGGAGGGGATGGGGGAGGGGATGGGGGAGGAAAGGGGCAGAGGAATGGAGGAGGGAGTGGGAAGGAGGTGGAGGAGGATGGCGGATGGGTGGGGGACGCGTGGGGTCGGGAGGACGAGGTGGTGTGCTGGGTGCCTGGCTCGGTGTGGTCGCTCTCTCGCCTGCAGCAGCTGACCACCAACGTGGGAGGCGCGTGGGAGAGCACGGGACTCAATGCCCTCTTCCCACCCCATGCCTCTCACTCAACCCCTCCCTCCGCCTCCTGCTCCTGCTGCTGCTGCTGCTCCTCCTCCTCCTCTTCGTTGCACCAGCACCAGCAGCACCACCAGTGCCTAGCCTCCCTTCCTAGCCTCACCTCTCTCTCCCTCCCCTCTCACCGCACCTTCCCTCCGTGCCTCTCCTCCCTCTCCTCCCTCACTCACCTCTCCATCCCCCTCGCCGCCCCTCTCCTGTCCCCCCATTCCCTCGCGCTCTTCTCCCACTGCCCCCGCTTGACTCACCTGCACGCGTGCGGTGAGGGCCCCACCGAACCCGAATCTGGTCTCGCCGAGCCTCTATTCTGCCACGAAGCAGTCCCTTTCTCCGGCTCCCTCCGCCACGTGACCCTCACCGGGACAGCTGGCGTGATCCCATTGGCTGTATGGGGACGCCTGTGCCCCCAGCTGCAGACGCTCAAGATCCATGGCTCGCCCCACGTGGCGGTGCAGGGGCGGGGGGAGCAGATGGGGGAGCATTCTGGGGAGGGGGATGTGGGGCAGGGCGCATGTGGTGAAGGGGAGGACGCATGTGGTGCAGGTGGTGCAGCAGCGTGTTTCTTCCCTTTGCTTGAGGAGCTTGTGCTGCGCAGTGTGAGAAGCCATGGGCAGGCAGGGTCAGAGCAGCCGGCTCGGCAGCAGCAGCTGGCCCAGCAGGCGCATACTCTTGCATTCATGGGCCATCTGCCCTGCCTAACCCACTTGGCCATCGAAGATACTTCCCACCCCCCCCTGCACGCCCCCACCATACTCCCCGCCCTCCTCCCCAACCTCACCTTCCTCCGCGTCCACTTCCCCCCACCTGCCCCCCTCCCCGTGCTGCCTAAGCTGCGAGCGCTCATAGTCGGGTCGTACCCTCACACCTCGCGCTTCCTCTCCGCCCTCTCCCTCTTCCCCTCCCTCTCCTCCCTCCGCATCCTCAACCTCTCCATGCACAACTACCACTCCGCCCTTTCCTGCCCTCCCTCACTCAAATGCCTCCAAATTTGCCACTCCGCCACTCCTCTCCTCCCCAACTCCCTCCGCCTCTTCTCCTCCCTCACTCGCCTCGACCTCTTCCAGTGTGTGCCGCTCCGCGCCCTCCCCTCCTTCCTCTCCGCCTTCTCCTCCCTCGCCCACTTCTCCTTCGACCATGACTATTATCACCCAGTGGTTGTGCCCATGGGCCTTGAAGGGTACCTCCAGGGGAAGAGGTGGGCGCAAGAGAAGGAGGAGGGAGAGTGGAGGGAGTGGGGTGGGATGGAGAAGCAAGAGAGGAGATGGAGGAGGGAGTGGATGGGGGCAAAGGAGAGGAGGAGGATTCGGTTTCAGAGTGTGTTTAAGGAGTCATCGTTGAGTGAGGCGCAGAAGGAGGAGCAGAGGGAGTGGTGGATTCAGGTGGGGAAAGAGGAGGAGGAGGAGGGAGGGTACCAGTCGTTGCATCAGGGTGCAAGAGGAGAGGAGGATGACAAGCAGCAGCAGCAGCAGCAGCAGCAGCAGGCGGAGCAGGGGGCGAAGTTGGTGCGAGGGGCACAGAAGGTGGATCTGAGAGCCATAACGACGAAGCAGCATGGCACGAATCAAGACCCGCAAAACCACTCGCGGTTACCAGCAGAGGAGCTGCAGCATGGGCGGCATGACAGCAGCAGCACGAGCAGCAGAAGCGCTAACACCAGCTCCAGCACCAGCACTACCAACAATGGCAAGCCGCCGCCGCAGTTATCAGCAGAGGTGCTACAGGCCGTGCTGCAGCGGCTGCAGGGGCCTATGGAGGAGGCACGAGTGAGCGGTGTGTGCCGCGAGTGGCGCCGCTGGTACCGCCTCCACACCTCTTGCTTCGCCTTTGCCCTCCACCCCCTCTTGCTGTCCTGGGTTCCCCTCGCCCTGCTCCAACCCCCTCCTTCCTCCCCCTCCTCCTCGTCCTCCTCCTCCTCCACCTCCTCCTCCTTCTCTCTTAATCTAGTCTGCAGAAGCGGCAGCAGGAGGCGCGAGCACAGGATGACAAGTCTCAACGGTCCGCCCCTTTTCTCCTCCCCATGGCACCCCGCTGACTCCCCCTTCTGGGTCATCCACTCCCCCCCCTCCACCCGCTCCTTCTCCCTGCTCCCCTCCTCCTCCGCTCCCTTCACCATCCCCCCTCCCATCGCCCCCTGCTCCCTCTCCACCTGCTTCACACACCTGCTGCACAGGTGGCGTCCTTTGTCCCCCATCTGGTTCTCCCCCGTCTGGTTCGCCTCGCTCCCCTCGCCCGCCTCCCTCGCCCGGACCATTGCCCTCTACCCCAGCCTCTCTGCACTCGTCCTGCCCTTAGTCTCCACCGCTGCCCGCCCCCTCCGCCCCTCCCACGTGCGCCCTCTCCTCTCCGCTGCCGCCGCTCAGCCCGCCCTCTCCTCGCTGTCCGTGCTGCTGGAGGACGGGTATAGGGACTACTGGGAGCGGGGGTATGGGCGGGAGGAATGGCTGAAGCTGGGAGCAAAGGAGAGGGAGAGGGAGATGAGGCGATGGTGGGGCGAGGCGAACGGGGAGGTGGAGAGAGGGCTGTTTGCGGTGGTGAAGAGGTGCCGGGGACTGCAGCAGCTGCATGTGCAGGGGGAGAATCTCGCCAACAGACTAAAACTCCCTGCCAACCTCTTCCACCGCTGCCCGCAACTCACTGCTCTCTCCCTCCCCCTCTCCCGCCTCCCCGCCTCCCTCCTCTTCCTCCCTCGCCTCACCTCCCTCTCCCTTGCCCTCCCTGCAGATCACATGCCGCCCCAGTTCGCCCACTCTGCCCCCTTGGCGCACCTGCGCTCGCTGCGCGCACTCTCCCTGCACGTGCAACACATCTTCAGCCTCCAGTGCACCAGCATGGACGCCAGCAGCTGGAACAGCGTCTCACCCCACCTCCTGCTCGGACTGCCGTACCTCACCTCGCTCTCCCTCTCCCTCCCCACCGACACCATTCCTGATTCCTTCTCCTGCCTCACTGCCCTCACTCGCCTGAAAACCAACCTGTGGATCCCGGGACTGGAGGACGAGGGAGGGGTGGGAGAGGAGGGGGAGGAGGAGGTAGCGGAGGAAGAGGAGGCAGAGGAAGAAAGAAGGGTGAGGCAGGAAGAAGATGGTGGGTGTGATGACGAGGAGGAGAAGGACGAGGAGGAGAAGTACAAGGAGGAGAAGGACGAGGAGGAGGAGCGAAGCTATGGCCTTTACCATACAGACATTGATGGCAGACTGCTGCCTCTCTGCAACCTCACCTCCCTCTCTCTCTACACATCCTTCCCTCCGCTCATTGGCCACCTCACCCACCTCACCTCCCTCTCCCTCCCCCGCGTCTACGCATCATACCACGACCAACACCCCAACACCCCATCCTGCTCCCTCCACCGCGGCCTGTCTCGCCTCACTCGCCTGCAGGAGCTCTTCATTGGCTGCAGCAGCCGCTGCGACCACTCTGACACTGTCGCTTGTCGCTGTGGGAATTCTGGCTCCGCCTGCATTCCCCGCTTGCCCCGTCTGCGCCGCGTGCGCGTGCACTGCCCCGACGAGACCGTGAACGTGGCCCGCCTGCTCGCCAACGTGGCGGCGTCCCTGGAGCAGCTGGACGTGCGAGCCGACTACCGCAACTACTCCTCTGCAGATCTCGGATGGACGGCACTGGTGTTTCCAAAGCTCAAGGTGCTGCAGCTGGTGACCTCAGGGCCCGCTTCGTACGTGTACATGGCTCTCTTCCCTGCCCTAGAACACATGGCATTGGCAGGCAACCGCAGGGTGTCATGGGGGGTGGAGAAGGGTTTCTCTTCCAGCCTGCGCTTCTTGCACTTAACCTGTGCAAGGCTGTCTGGATTCTACAGTGACCCTCAGCTGACGCAGCTGACCTCGCTCACCACGCTGGTGGTGGACAACGCTGACTGCCGGGACTTGCTCGCATGCCTCTCCGCCTTCTCCTCCCTGCGCACCCTCCGCCTCTCCAACCTCACCAGGGGCTGCTCTGAGCCCTACCTCACCTGCCCCCCTCTCCTCGCCACCCTTCAGATCTGCCGCTCCGACCTGCCCCACCTCCCATCCTCACTCCTCAAATTCGCCCGCCTCAATCGCCTTGACTTGCTGCACTGGAGCTGCCTGCACTCCCTCCCGCGTTTCCTTTCATCTTTCACGTCGCTCCGCCATTTCAGAGTTACCTGCGATGGCCCCAGGCCCTTAGTGCCGGCATGCCTCGAATATTTTCTCAGGGACAGGGATTGGTACGAGTACTCGCCGTGTGTGTGGCAGCTTGAATAGAGAAGTTCAATGCTGTATTTATAAATCCCAGTAATGTAATTTCTGTTGATATGGTTCTTGCCGTATGTGTCTTACAAAGCAGGGCTTCAGATTGGTTTTAGGGCTGCTGATTGCTCAGGGTCGCCCGTGCGAGAACCCTGTTTTTCAGGGTCGGGTTTTGGGCGTGGCGAGTTTTGGGCGTGCCGACTAATCAGGCCTACATTTTTTTAGTTTCTGATCCTCACACTAATAGAGTGATTTTGGCGAAGGTCCAGTCACACTCCTCACACCTGCTCCAGCTCACCATCAGAATTTCTAGGCAGATGGTGGCTGTAGAGAAAATCTGGCAGAAACGGGCAGTATTGTATAGAATGTACATCTTTGTAAATGCGAGTGAGGGTGAAAGAGGAAAACTGGAACGGGCTGGAAGAGTGGGACGGGCGGGTGGGGAAGCCACTATCGGGGATTGCATGGAGTGAAGTGGAGCTAGCTGGCGGCAGCAGCTTGCGGGTTTGGAGCCACCTGGCGGAGGATGGGAGAAGGTCGGGGATCGGCCGAACCTGGGATGATAGCTGGGGTTGGTTACTTTGTTTGTGCCGCTTTCGTGTGCAGGTGGCCAGCTGGACACGCAGGTTCATGGCAGGATGGATGCTGCTGATCGTCGATTGGCTGACAGGCCAGGCTGCCTCCCTTCTGCTCCAGCAGTGGGATGGGAGAGCTGTCAACCTATACATATACTGTTATGTAGAAGTTATAGGCTAGATAGGGTATGTTCTTAGAGGGTACAACCCAAATGCTATATCTCCCCTGTTCTCCCTTCCTCTAGTCATTCTTTCTAGTCTTAACAAGAGCTAGCTAGGTAGAGAGGTACAGGAGATGAAGGGGGAATATAGGCTTGTCGAGCGAGTGTAGTGTAGAGCCACTTTTTGTATGTTTTTGCTTTAGTTAAATTGTTGGGATTCACTCTGACAGAACTAGATGGCGCCGACATAAACAAGAAGTGCTTGGTGAGAGTATGGTAGCTGGTTAGAAGGCTTTTCCATACATACAAAAAGTCTATGCCGCTACAATCTGGGAAGGAGTACGCGAAGGAGTGGGAGATGGATAAGTATAGGTTAGAGGAACCGTCGCTCACAAGAAAGGAGGGTGAGCCGGTTGGAGGACAGGAAGATGTGGGCTCTCAGAGCGAAAGCCACGTCAGGGAACACTTGTCGAAGGAAGGCCCACATGGCACAAATCCCGCTCCAGAGGAGGAGGGGAACGAGATGGAGAAGGAGTGGGCAGAAGACCTGAAACGGGTAGCGGCAGCAGCCAAAGAAATACCAGCGGAGTGCCTCCTGGCACGGGACGGCAGAAGAGGTCGGAGGGAGTTGCTGGTGATACACACAGCTGCCAAAAATTGAGGTCCCTGAACGCTTTTTGGGTGATGCGACGCGGGGGGCTAGCCTAAAAAACTACATCATGCAGCTGGAGAATGTGAAGGCGCGATGGGAGAAGGACGAGTTGTCACTAGAGGAGTTCTTTCGAGGACTCGCAAATACCTTGACCGGAGAAGCAGAGCCGTGTTACCGTATCTCTCATCGTGAACTGCTACAATGGACAGCGGGGGCACCGCCGGGAGAAAGGGACCCGAAAGAGATGTTCCTGCTGATGCTGAATGAGCTGTTTCCATTACACACGCCAGAGCAGGTGCGAGAGTTCCGGGATTTCAGGAGCTGTGTGAAAGAGTCCCTGCTCGCATACTACGGACGGCTAATAGAGCTCGGCGAAGATATGCACTGCCTGAACCAGTGGCGCCTGATCATCAAGTTCCTGGCGGGGCTGAGTCCCGAGCTTTAGCAGGACGTACGGAGCAGAACCTTTGATATGGAATTTGGTGCCACATCACGAGAAGCATACGAGGTAGCACGGCGGGTGGAGACAGGCCGACGGCTCTTTGAAGCCGACCGACAACCAGAACGTCAGACAGATTGCAGGAGGCCCGCGTGGGTGGCGACGGAAGTGTCAGAATCGGACGGATCGGAACGGGGTGGCAGTGAAGCCCGCAAGTGCCACAACTGCAGCCAGCTTGGACATTACCGTCCTGATTGCCGCAACCTGCCGGCCTGTTTAATCCGTGGAGAGACCGGCCACTTACGACGAGATTGTCCAGACTCGCCGACGTGCGCGAAGTGTGGTCGACAGGGATACAAGGAACACGATTGCTACTCACAGCGGAAAGGAAACAAGCTCGGGGTGGAGCGGCAGAGTTCCGTGCCAAATTTGACAAACTACAGCAGCGGCTGGCTGAGCTAGAAGGAGGGGAGGAAAAGAAATCGGCCGTGTTTGCGCAAGAGGAGGAGGGAGGGAGCGATGGAGAGTTCGCGCTGATGGCCTGGCCAACACGAGAGCGAGAGGAACTGGGACTGCGTAGCGGAGGAAGGCGACTAGAGACACGGCGACCGCAAGGACAAGCAGCTCCACAAAGGCTGGCGGTAGCCGCAACTGAAGGAGAAGGGACCGTGGCGCGCCGACACCCACTGGAAAGCCTCAGGTGCCAAGCATCCGTGCTGGTAGTGTAGGCAGGGGTGTTGGCGGTGGGAGGAATCCCCGCGAAGCAAGCTATAGTAGATACAAGCACGCACCACGTGCTGATAGGCAAGCGGTTGGCCGAATAGTTGAAGCTAAACCAGCAGAATAGACGGATCAACGAAGGTTACCTGCTCATGACGGCAGAAGGAGGGGCGGCAAAACCATGACCTACCGAGTGCAAGAAGCAAGGACCAACAGGGCACCTGCCGATGTGCTTCATCAAGTGAGAACCGAGAGAAGCGTTCCAGGTAGTGACTCCCACAACAGCGGAAGAAGTGGGCGTGTGGGAGTGGCGTGAGTACGAAGCGGAGAAGGCCAGCCGAGAGGAGCGAGTGGAACGGTGGGGGCCGAACTTGGACCTGAAGGAGCTGTGCCTCGACACTAAGGTGCTACAGCGGCCGATAGTGCTGCTAGAGCTCTTTGGGGGCTGGGGACAGGACTGGCAGCACCAAAGAAGGCGGGACTGACGGTCGAGAAGTACATCTACGTAGAGCCAGACCTTATAGCAAATTGCATGGCATGGCAGCACATCAGACTTCTACAGGAGCGATAACCATTTCAGTTAACTGCTGAAGCAGTAGAAGCGGGTGTAGTATGGAGGTGTGACGGTGTGAAGAAGATAGACGAGAAGCACCCTGGAGCAGTGGCAGCAGGTGGATCTAGTGATAGCATGATGGGAATGCCAGAGCTACTCATGCGCCGGGGGAGGGCAGGGCATGCAGGACCCATGAAGTAGGCTGCTCCATGAGATGGCGAGAGTGCTGCACCTGATCAAATAGCGACAAGGGGAAGTGCTGTACATTTTAGAGAACGTGGACATGACGCAAGACCCTCGGGAAAAGGTGCGGAAGGCACATAAGGAGGTGACAGGCGTGTTGGGAGCAGGAGTGACTTGGGACGCAGTTCAGACAGGCAGCCGATCGTACAGGGTTTGGACCTACTGGCAGAATGGCCTACCAGAGGCAGCCGTGCGCTACTACCTATCCGTGATGGAAAGGCCAAGGACGAGACGGGTAGAGGATATCTTGGAGGCTAGGAGGAAGTTGGCACCAGTCCTGGAGAAGGACCACGAGTCACAGTACAGCTGCGATGTGATTGGGCAGCCACACGAAGAAGAAGAAGAAGAAGAAGAAGAAGAAGAAGAAGAAGAAGAAGAAGAAGAAGAAGAAGAAGAAGAAGAAGAAGAAGAAGAAGAAGAAGAAGAAGAAGAAGAAGAAGAAGAAGAAGAAGAAGAAGAAGAAGAAGAAGAAGAAGAAGAAGAAGAAGAAGAGGGCACGGTTGACACAGTGGAGGACAGAGGAGAAATGGCATGGCGATAGAGGTAGAAGAAGGAGCGACCAAGGGCCAAGCTGAAGGAGGGGCGCACGAACCAGAAGGAGAGCCACAACCAAGGCAAGGAACAGAGACGGACATGCACCCGGCCAGGTAGCGAAAGGCGTAGAAGGGAAAGAATGTGAGATGACGAGTGCAAAGAAAATAGCGCAATGGGACATCGGGGAAGCGATGATAGAGGCGGGGTGAAAGGCAATAGAAGAGCTGCTAGGAAAATATCAGACCAGTTTTGCCTACATTTTAGACCAGTTTGGGAAGTGCACCACGACTACCATGTGGCTGCCACTGACCTCGGAGATATCGGTGTACCAGAGGCGTCGTTGCATGAGGCCACGGGACTTAGCCATCTGCACCGAGAAGTGCAGGGAGCTGCTAGCAGCAGGGCTCATAAGTCCATCAACATCAGACTACGCAGCAGCTACAGTGATAGTTGCATGCACGGACCTAGCAGGAGAGGTGGTATCACATCGTATGTACTACCGAGGGCTGAATAAGGTGACGGTAGCAGACAAGTATCCCACTCCAATGGCGGACGAGATCTTCGCCCGGCTGCATAGCGCTCGAATCTTCTCGACATTGGATCTCAGACAGGGCTTCAACCAGGTTCTGGTAGCTGAGGAGGACATGCGGAGGTCAGCATTCCATGGGGCTGATGGCCTCTACGAATGGAACCACGTGCCTCTCGGCCTACGGAATGCGTCCATAGTCTTTCAACGCACGATGGATGTGGCATTGAGGGGAGTGGCAGCAGCCGCCTGTTGCATAGATGATGTCATAGTCTTCCGCGAGAATGAAGAGGCACACATGCGGGACGTGGAGCAGAGTGATAACAGCGGTGAGAATGATGTGCCACAAGGGCAAGTTCAGCTTTGGACACAAGGCATTGAGCTATCTGGGGTTCGAGGTGACTGAGGGCAAGCTGGAAAACCAAAAGACGAAAGTGGAAGTGTTGGACAGGGTGGTGGCACCCAAGGACCGAAGCACGCTGCGAGCCCCGATAGGGTTCCTAAACTACTATCGCAAGTTTATCCCATACTTCAGCAAATGCTTGGCGCCACTGAACAGCCTCTTGCGGGAAGATCCATAGTGGGAATGGGAAAACGAGCAGAAATAAGCGGTAGCAGAAGGATGGGGCGGTGCTGGAATTGCCACGGAAGGACCAACCATACGTGCTGTACACAGACTGGAGCACCGGAATGGGAGCGGTGATCTGCCAAGTGGTGGATGGTCTGGAGAGGGTGGTGGCCTTCTCCAGTCGCAGCTGCAACGCGGCAGAGGCAAACTACTCATCATATGAGGGCGAGGGGCTGGCGGTGGTATGGGCAGTGGGGCACTTTCGGGTGTATCTGCAAGGAAGACCATTACGCTGGTCACCGACCACCAGCCCCTACTCTGGCTCAAGCAAAATGAAACACTTACAGGGAGAAATGCATGCTGGGCAATGAAGCTGCAGGAGCACGAGTTCCAGGTCAAACACCGCCCCGGCAAGACCATGCAGCATGTTGATGGACTGTCCTGTAACCCACCATGGGAGCGACCATCGGTGGGCCTGATGGTGCTAGAAAAGGAGGCAGAAGGAAAGGGAATGGCTGAAGAAGAGCGGAAGAGAGGGGCGATGGACGTCTGGGAAGAAAGTCTTGTAGTGGATTAAGGTCGAGACTACAAGGCGGCTCAAGTCAGTGAAAGAGCTAGGGCGAGAGGTCAGCACTACCGGTGGTATCAGGGGCAGCTGCAGCTGAAGACGAAGGATGGATGGAAGGGGGTATCGCACCCAGAGGATGGATAGGGATCATTAAGGAAATACACAACAAAATGGGGCACTATGGGCCACTGCGCACGCAAGAACTGGCACAGACTGGTTGGTGGTGGGACGGCGTGCGGAAAGAGATCAGGGACTAAGTGGAGCTGTGTGAGGCGTGCATCAGGAACCGAATAAATCTGGAGCACGAGAAAGCAACACTCAGCCCACTGCAGATTGTCGGTCTGGGATACCGATAGTCCATAGACCTGGTGCGTGAGCTGCCAGTCAGCAGGAGGGGCAGAAGGTACATATTGTTGATGATAGAGCACACCAGCAAGTGGGCGGAAGCGAAGGCACTGGTGAGCAAGGCGGCATCAGGAGTAGCAGAAGCCTATGAAGAGATGGTGCTGACTCAATTTGGCGCGTGTGGGGAGGTGGTGACTGACCAGGAGTTCCAGGGAGAGTTCCAGCAGCTGCTGACGCAGTGCGGGTTCAACACAGGGTGACATCGTACTACCAGCTTATGGAGCGACTGGTGCAGACACTGAAGAAAGGGCTCAGGGCGTATGGGGAGGCTGGAAAGGAGGGTTGGGACATGCAGCTGTCCTGGGTGATGGCGGGGTACCAGTTCAGCAGACAGGAAGCCTTGAGGGACATGTCCCCCTACTATTTTCTCTTTGGGAAGGAGCCAGTGCTGCCAGTTGCAGCTCCGAAGCTGCTGACTAACACCGTGACAGCAGGAACGGCAGAGAACTAGGTCGTCGTGGCAGACGCTAGGGCTCAGTACCTGAAAAGCCTGCTGCCTGCGGCACTAGAGAGCCTGCAGGTGGCAAAGCGGCAGGACATTCATCGCTACAAGCAGCGGCAGGGACAAGAAGGAAAAGGAAAGGCACCTGCATTGGAGGTAGAGGAGGAAGTATACATGCGGAGAGTGAAAGGAGACACATAAGACGTGGGTGTGACCCACCAGCGCTGGAGAGTGAAAGACGTGCGCGAGTCAGGGGTGATTGTACTAGAAGATGAGAAAGGATCATGCCACAAATGTGGCCCGGCTGCCGGGGCAGGAAAAGGGTTCTCAAGACTGGCTGAAGGGGAGACAGCTGGTCCGGCAAGCGGCGGTAAGGACTACCAGGGTCCCATGACTCGAGCAAGGGCAACAGCAGAGCACAGTAGCGGGCAAGAGAGGGTTGAACCGAACCAGAGCAAGAAGGAGGTGCAGGGAGGGGCACAAAGGAAAGGATAGAAGCACACGAAGGGCAAGGGAGGCGAGGTGTAAGAATAAGACAGGAGGAGAGGAAGAATGACAGGAGCGAGGCAGCTCAGTGCAGTCGGGAAGCAGGGTAGAGAGGGACGACAGCTGTCAAAATTTCTAGGCGGATGGTGGCCGCAAAGAAATGCTGGCTGAAAGGGGCAGTATTGTATACAATGTACATATTTGTAAATGCGAGTGAGGGTGAAAGAGGAAAACCGTAACGGGCTGGAATAGTGGGACGGGCGGGTGGGGAAGCCACTATTGGGGATTGCATGGAGCTAGCTGGCAGCAGCAGCTTGCGGGTTTGGAGCCACCTGACAGAGGATGGCGGAGGATGGGAGAAGGTCGGGGATCTGCCGAACCTGGGATGATGGCTGGGTTTGGTTACTTTGTTCGTGTCGGTGGCCATATGTATGTGTGCAGGTGGCCAGCTGTACAAGCAGGTTGATGGCATGATGGATGCTAATCGTTGATTGGCTGACAGGCTAGGCTGCCTCCCTTGAAGGCTTTGAAAGGCCAATCATAGGCTAATCATTGAATGGCTGCTAATCGTTGAAGGCAGGCCCAGCCCAGGCATGGTCTACAACCACGAAAAGCGAGATTGGGAGGAGCCGACGGCACTAGAGCGGGAGTTGGCACTGGGCATGGTGCCTAGAGCAACGGCGGCAGAGGGGAATGATGGAATGGCAGCGCTGCAGAGCACTGGGGAGAGCAATGGATGTGTAGGCAGTGTCGTGGATCTTCCACACAATTGATGTGCAAATGGTGCGACTACAACTGGAGAAGCGGGTCCATACCATCAGCCAGCCAGAAGTAGCGACACCAGGAGCGAGGTTTGCAAGAGAGAACCATGTCAGGTGCAGAGAGGAGCTGGAGATTGAGGTGAAGGCGATCAACCAAGACGGATGGCCACCTGCAGCTGACAGAAGGAGGCTGCCGTGCATGAGAGGAGTCTTCCCGCATGCACCGACTTACGCTCTGATGGCATCGGAAGCGGTAGAGGTGGCAGCGTCAGCTGTGGCAGAGCACACCTGGCAGATTGGAGATGGTCTGCCGCAAAGCCAGGCAGATGAGATGCGACGCTTGCTAGAAGAGAGGAGAGCGGCATTTGCCTTCACCTTGAAGCCGCAAGGCAAGTGTACCAAGGGAGAGTTGAAGATCAAGCTGGTGAGCGAGAGCCCAAGCTATCAACGCAGGAGGTGCATGAGCCCGGGCGACGGGGCATTATGTCGGGAGAAATGCAAGGAGTTGCTAGATGCCGAGTTAATACGCGAGTCGGAGTCTGAATATGCAGCCACAATGGTGGTGGCCACTAGAATGGACGTGGCAGGGGAGGAACATGGTAAGCGGATGTGGGGGGAATACCTTGACCTGAACAAGCTGACGAAGCCTGACAGGTACTCTACGGCATTAAACAGGCTCCACGCTTGTGGCAGCAGTACCTTCACGCTCAGTTACTTGCTGGCCGGTTTTGACAATTATCGTACGATAAGAGAATGTATTTACTCGCCGACGGCCCTAACTACATTCTGCTCATCGCTTATGTCGACGACTTACTCTACGTCAGCACCACGGAATCTCTCGCTACTGCCTTCGAACAGAAAAATCAACAACACCTACAGATCACCATCACAGCTACTGTCACACAGGTTCTCGGCCTAAACATCCACCGCACACCAACTGCTATTCATCTTACCGCCTCAAAGTTTGCTGCTACACTAGCCGCACGATTTAACCTCACACCTTCGACATTCGCTACGCCTTTCTGCTCTCTGCCTACAGATTACAAACCCGATACAACCCCGCTTAACAGCACTGAACTTCAATTCTATCAGCAGCAGCTGGGTTGTCTTCTATTCTGAGCCGTCACATGTCGCCTAGATCTCGCCTATGATGCTAGCCAGCTCGCGCAATATCTGCGTCGACCTTAGGGGGAGAATCTGGTAGATCTCCTACGTGCCCTACAGTATTTTATTTCGACACCCGAAGTCGGACTTACCTACCAAGTCGCCACTACGAAAACTCTTTATCTTAACGGGTATGTCGATACTGATCATGCAGTAGATACTTCTCATCGTCGATCTCACACCGGATTCATCTATCGTCTCGAACCTATCGGGACCATCTCCTGGAACTCTACAAAGCAAGAGCTCATAGCACTATCATCTGCTGAAGCCCAGTTTATAGCTGCTTGCACAGCTACTCGTAAAGGTCTCTATTTGCAAGAGCTACCGATGAAGCGAAATTGACGACAAGTACACAATTCACCTTGCAGTGCGACAAACGGAGTGCGATCAAAATCGCACACCAGCCTGGCTTCGCAAACAGGACGAAACATATTTAGCTACGATATTTTTTCGTCAAGGATGAAGTAGAGAAGGGGAGGATGCGATCCATCTACTATTCGATCAATGAAATGGCTGCAGATTTTCTCACCAAGAAGTTGACACGTCAGAAGTTCCAGTACTGCAGCGAGCTCTGTGGAATCATCAAGAAGTGACACTATCAGATTTCCAGACATGAAGGGGAGTGTTGTGATAAAATCGCACTTCAGCATTTCTGTAAGTAGTTCCGATAGATATTATCGAGTTATACTGTAGTTAGCATATGTAGAATGACGTCAGCAAATAGCGCTCATCTGGATGATTACGTCAGCAGGCCGTTTCAGTCACGCGAACAGTTACACCCCTTTTAGTAGCGATTAGAGCGCATAGCGCGAATAGCTTTAGAACAAGTACACTACCGAACATGTACTTCTCGTAGATGTAAAAGTAGCCTGTCTCTCTACAAACTTGTTCTTCAGTAAATTTCGGACACCACTCACAAGTTCTAAGACTTCCAT